ACATACGTGTGCAGGTATCTTTTTTATAGAGTGATTTGTGTTCTTCAGGGTATATTCCCAGTAGGGGGATTGCAGGGTCATATGGAAGGTCAATTTTGACTTTTATTTATTTTAAACATGTCTTTAGGTAGTCATAGAACCAAGAGCTGTGTGGCTAAATTGCCTTCCAAACAAGTTGAAGCAATTTACATCCCATATCATTTTCATTTATACCCAGCACTAATTTTTTTTTGGGGGGGGAAGGAGAAAAAAATGACAGAATACTTTCCTAGTTGAGCTGACCAATCCTTCACTTAAAAAACAAAAAAAACCAAACTGCTTTGATCATTAGTGAAATGTGGCATTTTCCCTATGTTTTTGTTAGCTGTTTTATATCCTTTCTGGTGAATTGCATATTTATGGCATGTGTGTAGAGAACAGCACTGAGCAATAATGCAGGGTAATTATGAGTTCAACACCAAGTCTGCTGACTCCTTCCTATGTTCCTTCCAACTTCACATGTTTAGACTGACAGCTTCTCAGGTTAAATGAGCAGGTTTTCTTTTTCACCAAAAAGACTTTTAATATGACAAATTGCTGTCCAAGTATTCTTGTGTTTCCGTTTCATGTTCTTTTATAGGTTAGATCAGATGTTTTAATAATTTGCCTTAGTGAAAGAAGGCTTGATTTACAAATGAAAACTGGTAAATCCTCTTTTATCTAAGAAGCATTTTGCAACTTTTCATTAGGATTTTCTTTTGGAAACCTTTTTGGTGGTAGCAGTTTTTTATTTGTTCGCTTATGTTATTCTTTTATTCAGTAGGATCAATCTGAATACATAAATATTTGTGATGGCAGAAAAGGCAAAGAACCTGTGAGTAGCTTGTCTTTAAAGGCTGGGAACCATTGTTGGTTGACTCTGTTCATGCCCTGTGATGCTCTATGCAGCTTTCCCATGTTGTTATTTACTGTGCATGTTGAAGCAGTACCAAGGTGTTTACCTGGTAGCTCTTGTTGTGATGTATTTTCCTTCTATAATAGGCCAAGGGCTGCTCTTGAATTCTGATAGCTCTTGTAGTCCATCCTGTCAAGCTGTCTTCTCGCTTAGAGCTGCTACAGAAAGTCTGTTTTCGAGTACATGTGGAAATACCTGACACTTCTGAAAGACCTATGGATTCCTAGAAAGACAATAATAAAAGGCTGATGGAGCCCAGCAAGTATCATTAGCTGTCTTCAGAATCATCCTCGAAACCTCCCTCTCTTCCTCTGGTGGTTCAGTCACCAAAGCCCAGGGATTCAATTCCACAGTCTTGCAATCCCTACTGTGCCCATCTGGTCCACAGCCACTCCTTGCTGTCACCCCTTCTGCCTTCTCCTGTGTGTCTTATGACAATAGCTCATGTGTCATGTCCTCAATCTCTGCCCCACCGAAATCACTATGATTCATTCCCCACTGCTGTGCTACAGGTGTTATCTATTCAAGGAACTCCAGTAATATACTTGCCCGCCTTAAAAAAAAACTGTTGGGCTCCTTTCTGCCTATAGAATAAAGTTCAACTTTCTTAGTACGATCTGTGAAAGACTTGACGTCAGGACCCAGTTATGTCTATGCCTCCCAAGGAAACGCGTGGAATCACGCATCTGCCTGTCACGCAGGCCTCACCAGCCTCTGCCCATCCCTGCTTTTCCATATGCTGTTTTCTCTCTCGAGTGTTCTGGCAAACACCGCCTTCTGGCCCAATGTATCATTCTTATCCTTTGCACTAGCAGTGAACAGCCATGCAACTCAGACATGGACCTGCTGGGGCTCACAGCAGGGTCCAACATGCAGATGTCTGTGAGTTCCTTGGGACTCTGTCAGGTGTCTCCACTGGTAACTCCCAAGGCTTGAATGTCAGACTCTCTTTCTCCCGTTGTCATTCCCTTCTCTCTGCCTGGATCTCCAGTGGCCAATCTACTTCCACTCCACTGCTGAGAGCCCTCCCTCCACCAGGAGACATGAGGGGCAGGACTTTCAAAGGCTCCAGACAGGCCCTTCTTATCATGACCATCTCATGAATCCCTTGTCCACTTTCCCTTCTTCAGACATGAGCCAGTCACCAATCCACATCTCCCCACGTGCAAGGACACCTACCAAACTCACACTAGACTTGGTAGGAAGGGGGATTGTGGTGACTAGCAGCATAACAACAGCTCCCTTCGAAGGACGTGTTTTCAAAAATTCTCCCTCCTTCCTTTCTCCTTCAGATATTTTATGATCTACAAGTAGATGATAAGAGTCAAGGCTATGTGCATTTCCTCTGTAAATTTTCATATTGGGAAGATCACATGCCCTTTAGTAACTGATATGTATCTTATTATGTAGAAAGAGTCCAGATAGAACCTATGTAATAAAGCCATTTCCTAAGTACATCTCCACCTTAGCGAAGCTGTATTTTAGGTTGAACCTGTTCTGAAGAACCAGTACTCGACGACCATTTCAGAAGAGTTAAATGGTAAAATAGGTATATTCTAGAGCTCCCAGTGTCACAAAGCCAAAAGCTTGGTACCTAGCTTTCCAGCGAATATGTAGGAGGAAACACTGCCATGGTATTGAGGGAGAAAAGCAAAGTAGACCTTGAATCCACCATTTCATTCAACTAAAATCAGGCTTATTCCTGAACAGATCAAAGTATTTATGAAATCTCTTTCCAGTTTCTTAGAAGGAAATGGTAAGGGTCAGGTTCAGTGGCTCAGCCTGTAATCCCAGCACTTTGGGAGACCGAGGCGACTTGATTACCTGAGTCTCTGGGTTCGAGATCAGCCTGGGCAATTTGTGAGACCTTTTCTCTACAATAATAAAAAAAAAAATTAACGAGGTGTGGAAGCACGTGCCTGTTGTTCTGGCTACTTGAAAGACTGAGGCGGAAGGATCAACGCTGGGGTGGCCATGAGTGTGCGTGAGATTTGGAAGGAAGAAAGGAAGGAAGGAAGGAAGGAAGGAAGGCAGGAAGGAAGGAAGGAAGGAAGGAAGGAAGGAAGGAAGGAAGGAAGGAAGGAAGGAAGGAAGGAAGGAGTAAGAAGCTATTGCTTGAATTTGTGATTACCCAAAGATGCAGTCCTCTGAAGGCGTAACCCAGGAAGCAGGCAGACGTCCTACCAGTAGGGCAGATGCGATGGGACAGCTATTCTCCATCCTTTATTTCTGCTGAGATAAGCATGAAGGATTATGCTCATACTGATTACACGTGCTAGAATTTATTTACGATCCGACATGTCACCTGGATCTGTACCCTCTTTGTTTTCACACTCAAAAAAGTATGTCATTGGTTAAGGTAGAATCTAATATAACTTTTTTTTTTTTTTTACAAAGCACTAAATTCAAACTTACTCCTATTACTAACAAATTATTTCTGACACATCCAAAATCAAACTATATTATATCAGTATGTCACACACACTGTTTGAGAATCACTGGTTTAAGCTTAAAAATTACTTTGATCAGAATGCTTTTCACTGTGATAAATAGGTAGCAATCTTTGATTTTTTGATGAAGGATTCCTTTTAAATGGAACATCAAGATGACCTCTTGACACATCTTTACCTCATTCTGTGTTTTGTGACCCTAGTCATGAGTGTGTCTGCTTCTTTGTGTTCTACGGCCGTGTTGCTGAGAATGTGAACAGACATTTGTGAAATATCTGGTGTGCTCAGAAGGAAAGCTACAACACACAGTGCTGGATGGTCACTTCAACTAGTAGTGATTTGTACTCTTGTAGGAAGATTGTGTCACCCTTGCCTAGCTGTTGACCAGCTGACTGATTTGTTAACTCATTCTCTCTTTTAGTCATTAAAAAAGTAGTCATTGAGAAGCTACCCTCAAATGGATGTGCCACTAGCCTCCCTCCTTCCTCATGTGTGTGGTGGCTGCAACACCTGCAAGTTAATTGCATTCCAAGTCATTTGCTCAAGCTACATTTTAAAAACGTGTTATTTTTTCCATTCTTTAATGGTGACCTAACTGATAAATAGGAGTACTAAGGCCTCTAATTAGTAATTAACATAACACATTGGAAGGATATGACTTGATGCAAATCTTTTATTTGCTGTCAACTTAGAAGAATCATAATAGATCACTTAGGCAAGATGTTCCTATTTTCTGTCTACCTTGTGCTTTTTGGCAATTCAATGAATTCTCAGAAGGTATTTAGAAACTGTCTAGATACGATTGTCATTCGGTATAAAAGCTTCTTTCCCGCCCCCCAGAATATTATTGTTTTTCTTCTTTAGTACAAGAAAGTCATGTTTTAATATATGAACTATTAAAGTGAGTCCTGAGACATACAACTATTCTACACCTTATTTGTCTTATTATTTTAAAATCTATCTTGTTTTCTATTTACTTACCATCCCATAATATTTATGTGTCCTTCAATATTTAAAATAACATAAGAAAAAGTTATCTTTACAATATGAAAAATCGATTTTTGTCTAATGATAATGATCTATGCCTATTTCCAGTTTTCTTTCCTTTATCATGCTTGCTGAAGATTGACATGGTGACTGCAGACTCAGAAGGATTAAGAATATCTCAAGAAAGACCATTTATCTCACGTCATCTTGTTCTTAGGGGTTACCTCATTAGTCCAGATTATACATTTGAGTCAGCCTATGGAGAGCCTCTGTGAAGCTGCTTCCCAGCAGGGGCCTGGGCAACCCAAGTGAGAGGTCTGGCAGCCCTGGTGGAGCCCCGGCAGCCTGGGTGGTGGCCCGGCAGCCTGGGTAAAGGCCCAGCAACCCAGGTAGAGGCCTAACTCTCAAGCATCCTGCAGTCTGAGGTTCTGTTCCCTGCAGCATGTTGTTCCCACAAAGAATGTAACATGATTGGAATTTAACACTTAGGAAAGAATTGATACACAAAGCTAGTGATATATTAACCATAACAGGAAATCAATTTGGTAAACAGTTTTTTATCTGTATGATTTGAACATTAAAATGTAATACTATTGTAGAAAAATTATATAGCTATAGTATGTTACTAAATGAAGAGGATTGTCTTTATTTTATTTTGTTATTACTTTTTTCTTAGGAGTTTACAAATAGAATTGTCTTTAGATGGCCCTTTTTCTTTTCTTTTTGTTTCCTAATCTGTTTATTTATACATTTTTCTGCCTTTTAAAGTTATTCTTAATTGACACATAATAATTGTATATATTTATGGAATAGAGAGTGATATTTTGATATGCAAATACAATGTATAATGATCACATCAGGATAATAGCATATCTATCACCTCAAACAATTGTCATTTCTTTGTGTTGGGAGCATTCAAAATCCTCACTTTTAGCTATTTCAAAATATAGAATAATTTATTGTTAACTCCAGTCACCCTGCAGTGCTGGAGGACACTGGGACTTATTCCTTCTGTCTCCCTGTGATTTTGTATCTATGCAACAACCTCTTCCCACTCACCCAGCCCCTCCCAGCCTCTGGTACCACTACTCAGCTCTCTCCTATGAGATCGACTATTACGGTTTCACCCATGAGTGAGAACACATGGTATTTATCCTGGTTTATTGTATGGTGACCCTTTTAAAAGCACCCTTTCTATGCACCCACAGGCTCTCTTCCGGACAGTAGCCATGATGGTGCCCGACTACGCCATGATTGCTGAGATAGTCCTGTACTCCTGCGGGTTTGTCACCGCTCGGCCACTGTCAGTGAAAATTGTTGCTACGTATCGCTTGTGTTCAGAGCAGCTGTCATCGCAACATCACTATGACTATGGAATGAGAGCTGTGAAGTCAGTGCTCACAGCAGCTGGGAATCTGAAGGTAGAGGACGCATATGTTTCCTACGTTGTCATTTTCCATTGGCAATTTTCAGGACTGCTTGTCTTTGAGGCCCAATAACTGGTTGGTTTTATTAAGTGATTGGGAAAAAAATCAATTATTGAACTAAAAAATTATTATTTTGTACATATGAAAAAGAAACTTTTATAATGATTTATAAGAACTTATACATGCAATTCTTAGTGATTTTTATTCTGTTCCATAAATTAGTATATGAAGCTGGGCTCTGCCTAGGAATAAAAATGTTTTGAAGGCTTTCAGTCTATATACATATATATAGCATTAAAGGAAATAAGTATGAGAATGATTAATAAATACATACAAAAGCCTCTAAACATTGTCATGTAATAAATTACACAATTGCAGCCAGCTATGGGTTCACAGTGACAGAATTGCAGTATTATGCTTGTGGTTATAATGGTCTAAATCATAATTCTATATATGTAAAATCCAAATACTTTAAAACTTGGTAAACTTTTCATTATGGAACCTTGAAATAGAACTGTGTATTAGTTTTTTAAAGCAAGAAAGGCTATAGTTAATAGAATAATGCAAAATGTGACCTTGGAGTTTGCAAAATTTTCACATTCATGATTTGTAGAATACAAATTTTAAAATATATCCTCCATGATTAAGGACAATGGTTTGCATTTTTATTTTCTATAATAATATTATCAAGGATTCTAATATATAGTGGTGGTATTCTATTTCATATTAGCCTAACATAGCTTTAAGTCATTGTTTTTTCTCAATAAACAAGAGTGACTAGAAGCAACAACTTGCATTAACAGCATGTCAGGATGACATTGTGGTCAGATAAGGGAAAGATAATGCATTGTCTCATACATTTCATCACTGGAATCTCAACTCTCAAATTGAGCTATTAAAGTTGTGCAGAAAATGGATCCTGCAAATGAACCCTATCATTCTTTGTCAAAAGCTAATTTAGAATTGGTGACTGCTCTGGCCTGCATATTGTGAAGTTTTTTTTTCAAATATCAAAAAACAATTTAAACATTTACTTCAAAATAATAGCCTTTCAAATAGCAAAAGCGACTTCTGACACTTCATAATTTATGTGTAGTTAGATTGATCCAAAGATAAAATTCAGACCAGAGCAGGAATAGCTCTGGTCTTGGAGGCTCTGGAGACTCAGTGCCTGACTCTGACTGCTGGGCATCACACACTCTGTAAGGCCGAAGCCAGTTAAGTAGGAGCCTGGCGTTTATTAAGTGGGAAGATTCTAGAGCAAAGGGAGAGGATTCTGGAAACTTAAGTGCATGGTGGTGGGAGAAACTTTTGGGTGAAATGTTGGGTAAAATATTGAGTTGGGGGAAAGAATTTTGAGTTTAGATTTTTGTTAATTATGTGAATGTGATATGAGTATGAGAAAGCAAGTTTCGAATTCAGATTTTTAGTATGCTTTGGAATGTTTTAAACTCTAGTATAAATTTTCTTAAATATCTTTTACTAAACTGATTTAAAGGGTGAATCAGCCCTCTCAACTCTCTCTGTGGAACTTGCTAACACTGAGTTACTGAACACACGGGGTACTGAGCCTGTGGAGTACTGAGCATGCAGCCAGCAGCGTCGCCTGCCCTAGCTTCTGCTCCAGCTTCTGCCAGATGAGCTGTCTGCCTTACCCAGAACCAGTTTGCTTGTTCTTCAGCCTTCTGGAAGCCTGTTGGGAATGCTCCTGTTACTGTGTCACTTAATTGCATGATAGGGCAACTGACCATAGGCAAGCATAAACAGGAGAACTAGTTCATGTTTAAGAAAGATTCAGTCAGGATGAAATGCTAATAACATTTTGGCTTTGATTAGACATGGATAAGAAGAGTATACAACTGAAAGAAAACTTTAAAATGTATAAGGATGATACACTTAAACTGTCTTACAAGTATCTTTGAAGAGTATTATCTCCTTTAGAAAAAAACAAAACAAAGCAAAGCAGAACACAGCTAAATGAAATAGAGAAGGTGATGCATTATTGATGTGACTTGGTATCAAAATGTGGGCACATGAGTGAATGTTTATATATTTTACATTTAGATGTATTTTTTCAAAATGATTGTCCACTTTTGATAAGTTTCACTTGACCAACCCACTGCTGGTCTTAACCATAACAAGCAAGCTCTACTCAACACTCGGGCAATGGCAGCTCCCACCTATGCTAAATTCATGAGCAGTGGCTCTCTACAGCAATAGCTGTGAGAAGTACTTAGTTCAGGTGTTTATTATAAACCAGTAAGAACCTGGAAACAACCATGCTGCCCGTCAAAAGAGGACTGGATTAAAAAAATGTGGTACATATACACGATGGAATACTACGCAGTCATAAAAAAGAACAAAATCATGAATTTCGCAGCAACCTAGATGGAACTAGAGTCTATAATACTGAGTGACCTCTCACAGAAACAAAGATCCGAGTATCATATGTTCTCACTCATATAATGGACCTTAAACATCCAATGCAATACTATAAGAAAATGACTGACAGTACTGGGAAACTATTGGGGGGGGAGGGAGGGAGATGGGATTAACAGTAGCAAATATCTGTCTGGGAACGGGGAAACACCTCATATCAACAGGGTGCCTGAATGAAAGGTAATTGTATACCTAACCCTTAACTGTACCCCACAACATCATAATAAAAAATAAATTAAAAAATAAATAAATAAATAAGATAAACATACAAAAAAAAATTTAGCACATGTAAGTGTCAGTTTATAAAAGTAACAACCATCCAATAAAATGAAGAGAAATAAGAGCAACAGCTTTGCATCTGTTTAACTTGGCCATAGGATTTGGTGTGTGTGAACACAGAGGAGGGGTGCATTGGCAGATGCAGATGTCATCATGAATGTGTTTTCTTTTAGCTGAAATATCCAAATGAAAATGAAGAAATTCTGCTATTTAGATCCATCATTGATGTAAATCTGCCAAAATTTTTATCCCATGATTTACCACTCTTTGAGGTAAGAACACTTTTTATTCCAATGAATCAAAACTCTTATAATACTGTATTTATCAAATGCCCGAGTCTGCAAAACTTCTTAGCTGTGGAGAACAATGACATTGTACAGAGGAACATAGATCATTCCATGTTCTATTTGAGATGTGTTTAACTGGCTTTGTTGCTTTGGATGACTTTCAACAACTTAGGATTTTAAAGGAGTACTCTTGTATTCTTTTTTACTGCATAATATAATAAACACAGAAAAATTACAAAATTTTTGCTTATAAATTCTACTAGAATATAGGCTTTATTAAAAAAAAAAGTAATTTGTGTAACACATCACTGAATCCCTAGCCCAGGATAGAAACAGTACTTGGTAAATGTTTGTTCAATTGATGACTGAATAAATAAAATAAATAAGTACGCTCAATTTCCTTAAAAGAATGCATGACTTTTATGAAGTTGTTTTTCAGGATAATTTAACATAAAAACTAAATTTAACAATCTTGTGATATTTTACATTATGAGTAACTTAGAGGAAGTATTAGACAGACATTAACTGTTTCTGTCATTTCATTCGGTATCATTCTTTTCCTCTTCCTGTACCAGGTGAAGGAGCTTGAGGGCAGGGGGTTCCTTCTCAGTGTGAGATGTACTTGCTCCACCATCTTGGGAGACAGGCAGTTGGGCTGCAAGTGTTGACATGGAAAAGGGAGCAGAGGTGTCATTTAACTGTTCTAGCAACTGTGTTCCCCGGTTTTGAAGGAAGCTGTCCTTGGTATATAGAATCAGCAGTGTAGATATTATACAGAGCAAATCAACACGGAGAGGATTCACACTTTCTCCCTGAAGTGCTCTGTTTTCTTAGAACCAGTGTACTGGATGGATTTTCCAGGAGTAAAGCCTGTATTTGTTTTCAGAATATCGAAATATACCTCACTAGATGTATTTCCATGCATTGGATATTCATTCAGTGAACGTGTATTGAGCAGTGTTTCTCAAGTGGAGCAACACACTACATTTCCAGTTGAGGCAATTCCTTGAGCAAGAATGTCCCATGCAAAGCAGGACATTTGACATCATTTCCCCCACTCCCAGATGACCACAAACCTTTTTCACAGTGATGAACAGAAAGATAGCTCTGTGTATTTCTGACTCTTTAGCTGGCAGGAGAGTGTAGGTAGGAGACGTACTGGTCTTGGGAGAGCCACTAAACACCAAGTATGTCCTAGGGTTGCCGCTTCTCTCAGAGTGTGCATAAGCCATTTGAACAATCTGAAAAGAGATGTTTGTTTTATTTTGCAAACACTATGCCCAGTACATGGACCAGGTGCTATTTTAAGTGTTTTATAAATGGTAATTTATTTAATGCTTCAAACAACTCAGTGGGGCAGGGCCCATCATGATCCCTGTTTTATAGATTGTGTGACAGGGACACAAAGGTGATAAACAACTTGTGTTTATGGTGAGTACATAGGGAACAAGAAATCTGACCATACAGGCTACACTTGACTTCACTGCCTTTTTCTCTCCTTTGCCCCAAGGGACTTTGTTGCTTTGATGAACTGGGATAAATTTCTCAATAAAAGCATTTAAGTATTAAATGTAGGTGCAATTAAATTGGTAACTCATAAATTTTAAAGTATAACTTGAGTATGTGCCTTTACATTAGGCATTCCTGAAATGGCACCTTTATCTTCAGAATAAAAAGAGTAGTCATATTTCTCATGTAAGTTGTGATACTACTTATAAAACAGCCAATTTACCAAGGTGCATTCCTTAGACCTTGCAATTAACTTCATGTATTCAAACACATTAAATATGAAATTATAGTTTTTCCCAAACATGCATTGTATGATTGTAGTTGTTTCCTAGGATTGCTACAATAAAGTACCACAAACTTGGGGTGTAAGGCAACACACATTTATTTTTTCACGTTCTAGAAGCTAGGAATCTGGAATCAGAGCACTGGGAGATTGTGCTCTGTCTCTGAAGGCTCTAGGGAAGGCTTCTTCCTTACCTATTCCTTACTCGCATGGCTGCTGGGGACTCTATCAGTTCCTTGACTTATCACTGCTGCACTCCAGTCTCTGCCTCCGCTGTCACGTAGCCTTCTCTCATGTGTCTCTGTGTCTGAATCTCTCTCTCCTTTCTCTTACACAGACTCAGGCACTGGGCTTGGGTCCACCCTACTCCAGTGTGACCTCATCTTTACTAGTTATATCGCAAAGACCCTGTTTTCACTTAAGGTCATCTTCTGAGGTTCTGGGTGGATGCGAAATTTTGGGGGACACTATTCAACCCACTACATTTATTCACTAAAATACTTTTGAATGGATTTTTATATATGTTTGAGGTATGGATTGAAGTTGATTATTTTGTCCTGGCTAGATGTCCTAGCATCATTTGCTGAAAGATTCTTTTCTCCATTGAATTGCCTTTGCATCTTGTTGAGAATTAGCTGCTTATATATGTGTGGTTCTATTTCTATACCACCCACTCTTCTTTGTTGATACATTTGTTATCTTCACACACCAGCACAAAACTATCTTTATACTAAGCCCGGAAATCAGTGTTAAGCCTCTACCTTTTCAATTTTTTTACTTGTGGTTCTCTTTTGCTGATGCATAACAAATGTACATATTTTGGGGGTACATGCTTGTGATAATTTAATACATTCATAATGTTTGTAAAGATCAAATTGTGTATTTGGGATATACATTACCTTCAGTGTTAGTGTTTACTTTATACTGAACACATTCTAGCTATTTTGAAATGTACAATCGATTATTGTAAAGTGTAGTCACCCTGCTGATTTGTCAAACACTAGGTCTTATTTCTTCTGTCAAATGATATTTTTGTACCTGTTAACCAACTCCCTCCCATTCCTGGCCTCGCCAGTCTTTTCTCTGTCTTCAGGAGATCTGCTTTTTCAGCTTCCACATGAGTATGAACATGTAATATTTGTCTTTCTGTGCCTGACTTGTTTGAAATAACATAATGATCTCCAGTTCCATCCATGTTGCTGCTAATGACGGGATTTCATTCTTGCAAATGACTGAATACTACTTCATTGTATATATACGTCACTTTTTTTATCCATTCATTCATCGAGGGCACTTAGGTTGATTCTATGTCTTGGCTATCGTGAATGGTGCTGCATTAAACATGGGGAGTGCAGGTACCTCTTTAATATATGATTTCCTTTCTTTTGGATATATACCCAGCAGTGGTCATGTGATAGTACTAGTTTTAGTTTTCTGAGGAAGCTCCATTCTGTTCTTCACTGTGGCTGTATAGTGATTTACATGCCCACCAACAGTGGACAAAGGTTCCCTTTTCTCCACATTCTCGCCAGCATTATTACCTGTCTTTTTGGAAAAGCCATTTTAACTTGGGTGAGATGATATCTTTGATTTGCATCATTGCTCTGATGTTTAGTGATGTTGAACATCTTTTCATATACTTCTTGGCCATTTGTATGTCTTCTTTTGAGAAATTTCTGTTCAGATCTTTTGCCTATTTGTTTTAGTCAGAGTCTCACTCAAAATATTTATGCCATGTGGAAGAAGCCAGAGGAAAAAGTATGCTGCATGATTTCATTTATATTAAATTCTAGACAATGCAAGTAAAAATAGGAACTGAAAACAGATCAGTGGTAGGATGGGATGGAAGCAGGAGGCAGTAAGGAGAGGAGAGAAGGGCTACCAAAGGCTTCGAGAAACCTCTTGAGGGTGACAGGTATGTTTGTTATCTTGGTTGTTGTGATGGTTCCACTTACCAAATCTTACACTTTAAAACGCAACTTGTGTGTGTCATTTGTGCCTCTCTAAGGCTGTTAAAAACACTGTTGAAATATTGCTGCCTAATGGCTCTATTTCCATCAATACTAAATATGTGTATTTAATATAAATATATAAAATGTAAACCCTCCAAATCATCTGTTATCAGGGAATTACTTCGGATTTGTTTCCTGGGGTGAAATTACCAAAACCAGATTACAATGATTTGCTGGAAGCGATCAAAGACAATTGTGCCTCTATGAATTTGCAAATGACCTCATTCTTTTCTGAGAAGATTCTTCAAATCTATGAAATGATGATTGTGCGTCATGGTTTTATGATTGTTGGAGAACCATTTGGAGGAAAGACCAGTGCATATCGTGTCTTAGCTGGAGCTCTAAATGATATATGTGAAAAGGCAAGTGTGTTATATTTTGAATTGGGGGTCTCACTCTGTCACCCAGGCTGGAGTGCCGTGGCATGCTAACAGTTCACTGCAGCCTCAACTTCTTGGGCTCAGGTCATCCTCCCACCTCAGCCACCCAAGTAGCTGGGACTACAGGCACACACCACCACACCCAGCTAATTTTTTTTGTAGAGACAGTGTCTTACTAACTTCCTAGACTGGTCTTGAACTCCTAGGGTCAAGCAATTCTCCTGCTTCAACCTTCCAAAGTGCTTAGATGACAGGCATGAACCACCACACCATGCCCAAGTGTGTCATTAGTGAATTTATTTATAATCAGCTTCACACAACATAGAGTATTACAGTCATTTTAAAAAATACTTTCAATATGGTAACTTAAGATCATGAGAAAATGAGTCACAGAAAAAATAAAATTAGAAAAGTAAAATGAATCAAGTAAGACATTCAGCATGTAATGGTATGCCATGAATTTGCCTTTCAACTTTTTATTTATTTTCTTTTTGTAATTATAAAGGTAATACATGTTCACAGAAAAGGTCTGAAAACACAGAAAAATCTGAAGTTCTGAAGGGTTTTCTTTAGTACTTTTAGGAGAGTATTTTTTAATTTTATGGGTAGTTAGGTTTGTAATGCCAACTTCTGTCATTGGCTACTAGTGGTATTGAATTAGAATGTGTGTGTATCATATTATTCAAGATTCTACTTTGGTATACTAAAGGAATGAGGCTCCTTTAAATTCTCCAACCAATAGTGCATTTCTTTTTTTTTTTTTTACCTCTTCTTGTATTACAAATAGATTTACTTCATGTACTTCAACATTTGTATCATATTTGAGATTTGTGATCACTGTGTCTGCACCCTTTCAACCAATATAATGTTATTTACTTGTTCTGTTGCTTGCTTTGGATCCACTTTGCCCAATTTCAATATTGCTACCCCTTATTTCTTGCTGCATATGCATATTTGTTTTGTTTTGAGTTGGAATCTCACTCTGTTGCCCAGGCTGGAGTGCAGTGGCATGCTCAGGACTACCACAGCCTCAATCTGCTGGGCTCAGGAGATCCTTCTGCCTCAGCCTTCCAAGTAGCTGGAACTACAGGTGTGTGCTACCATGCCCAACTTATTTTTTGATTTATTGTAGAGACGGGGGTCTCACCTAGTTGCCCAGGCTGGTCTTAAACCCCTGAGTTCAGGCAGTCCTCCGTCTCGGCCTCCCAAAGTGCTGGGATTACAGGTTTGAGCCACTGCGCCTTGCCTGTATGAACATATTTACCCACGTGTTTAATTGGATCCTTGGTGTCGCTGTGATTTACCATTTATAGAGAGTAAATGGCTTGACTTTTATTTTCTCCGGGTCGATGGCATTTATTTTTTCAAAGGGGAATTTAAATTAACTTATATGCATTATCATATAAACCAACATGCTGCTTATTTCTGTCATCTGCTGCTTCTGCTTTTGTTCTTTTATGCTGTTTTCTTTCTTTGCTTCACTTCTCTGTTTTCTCTCATTTTTTCACCCTTCCTCCTTACCTTCCTGCCTTTCTTTGTTTGTTTTTTGTTTGTTTGTGTTTTTCATGTTTTGCTGCTTTATTGTTTTATGAAGTAATTATTTTTCTATTAAAAAAGAGTCTCTAAAAGGACTAAACCTGGCACTGCTAGAAGCGTGAAAGAAGATGAGGTGATGAGCAGGCATTCTGGTTCACTTGTGAGGTCCAAGTGGCTCGTGGCAAGGGAGTTCTGAGAGTGACACTGTGATCACATAATAGGAACAGGCTTTCTTCACCACTGCTAACAAGTCATAGCTCCACACTGACCTGGCTGCATTTGGGATATGCATATTTGTTTTGTTTTGAGTTGGAGTCTCACTCAGTTGCCCAAGCTGGAGTGCAGTGGCACGCTCAGGACCACCGCAGCCTCAACCTGCTGGGCTCAGGTGATCCTCCTGCCTCAGCCTTCCAAGTAGCTGGAACTACAGGTGCTACGGTGCAGCAACCTTCAAACTGAGCAAGAAGATGATAGAGGTTTCCCATCTTCTGAATTTAGCAAGTTATGTTTTTAATCCTCTTCCTGGGTACAGAAAGAAAATAAAGCTCTTTAACTTGTTTTATTGTTTAATAATTGTATTCTCGTGTCTTTTTTTCTCAGTTTGGCAGTTTGTGTTCCAAGCTCTGGGGTGGCAGCTTGTAGGCAGTGTTGGGAAGGGTTGAGCCTGTCATATTGTTGTATATACATACAATAAATGACTGTGAACAGGTGGGGCACAGGAGACTTTTAGGGTAGTGAAGTGTTCTGATGAGACTATAATGGTAAGTACATGACATTACACATTTGGCAAAATTTATAGAATTGCGTGACATAGAGCATGAACCCCTAATATGATATTCAGTTAGAAATAATGTACCAATATCAATTCATCAGTCATAGCAATGTACCACACCAACTTAAGATACTAACAAAACCTGTAATGGATGACAGAGAAAGCATATGAGAATCTCTGTACTTTCTTGAATTCCTGGCCTCAAGAGTGCCTCAGCCTCCAAAGTGCTGGGATTACAGGTGTGAACCACAGCAACTGGTCCAAGTCTCTGTACTTTCTGCTCAAATTTTCTGTAAACTTAAAACTATTCAAAAAACCCAAAACAAAACAAAAAAAGACTCTATTAACTTTTTAAAAAATGACATAGACCAGCTTTCAGGGTGAGAGACCCAAGAGATAAAAAAAAAAAAAACACTCTAAGAGAACTATTACTATATGAATTCCTACCCCACGTTCACTGTATTTGTTTGCAGTGTTTGTACTTAGAATTTTGTTAAGTTTAATTTTTGTTTGTCTCATAAAATAACCGATTGCTTCCGCAACTGCTGCTAGCAGTATGTGAATGTCAAGTAATAAACCCCTCCTGGACATTCCTTTGCTTAGCCTGTCTGCTTGCTAAACCTAGCTTATCTGACATTCCACTCTGCTCATTTAGCAGCTCCCCCATCAATCACAGGTAGCTGAGCGGAGCAGACCAATCCCAAGTGCCCCCGTACCCATTAGGAGAAATTAACCTATCATGTAAAAACAAGTTTAAAGTTCTTTCCCCTTCTCTGTAATGATGTATAAAAACTGCTTGCCATGCTGGATCGGGGCTCTCGTCCCTGAAGCTGCTGCTTCGGGCGTGAGCCCAGACTCGAGCCTGAATAAAGACCCTTGTGTGTTTGCATCAGAGCTGGCTCTTTGTTGGTCTCTCAGATTCTGAAATTTGGGTTTAACAAGGGTTCTGGCTGAAATAGACAATTTACCACTATTAACTTTTTCACTCCACAAAAAAATACATATTTCTCTATATTTAGATCTTTTTATTTTCTCTCAGAGAATGTTTTGTGGCAGGGGTCAGCAAATTATAGCCCATGGGTCACATTCAGCCCAAAGCCTATTTTTGTAATATCCACAGACCTAGAATAGTGTCAACATTTTAAAAATTAAAAAAAAGAAAGAAAAACAGAAAAGAATATGTGATAGACCATATGAAACCTACAAATCATAGTGGAAAACTGTCGGGAGGGGGGATGGGACTGGCAGTTGAGGGAAACTGCTAGGGGAGGGAGGGGCATACTTCATCAACAAGGATACCTGCATGATCAATGTTTATATACCTAACCCTGAATTGTACCCCACATCTTTATAATAAATAAATAAATAAATAAAAAGTAAATAAAAGAAATCTGCAAATTCTATATTATTTATGATCTGTCCCTTTGCAAAATAATTTCTCAGCTCTTGTTTAGTAGTTTAAGATTTATAGATTTTGGGTAACATTTGCTAATTTCTTCCTAAATATTTTATGAACTTTTAAATACTATTGTGAATGGTATTTTAAAATTTTTATTTTTCAATCGTTCATTAGCATTATGTAGAAAAATATAATTGATGTTTATGCTGTAACATTGTCCTTGTATGCTGGAGCCTTATTAAAGTCACTCCTACATCTGATAGTTTCTTTGTAGACTCCTTAGGATTTCCTATATATACAACCATGTGTAAATATGGATAAAGGCAGTATTCGTTAAAATAATGATTTCTTTTTTTCTCTTAAGGGGCTAATGGAAGAAAACAAGGTTCAAATAACGGTTTTGAACCCTAAGTCTGTCACCATGGGTCAGCTGTATGGACAGTTTGACTTAGTGTCCCATGAATGGTCTGACGGAGTCCTTGCTGTCAGTTTCAGAGCATTCGCTTCTTCTATGGTAAGTGCTGACACTTTTTCCTGTGTATTTTAAAAGGTTCTGTTATTTCCTTATACCCAATTTCTGTTAAACCAATTCTATTTGTAGTTTAAGATACTTGTTTAGAGCACAGTACTGATTGTCTGGCAGTATCTCTGTGAAAACAAACATTGGCACCTACAAAAAATACCAGAGACCACGCTAGCAAACACCTTTGCCTTAGAAAGAGGACAGGGAAAAGGACAGGGCAAAATAGTTCCCATGCTTGTCTCCCAGGTGTGATGATCCGGAATGAGAGCAATGAATAAAATGATCCTCTGGATGTTCAGCTACATCCTTCCTCTGCCTGCTCGCTGGGCCTTTGCCACACCTGCTTATTGTTAAACAAATGCCAGGACTTAGAGCAGAGACTGCATACCTTTCAGAATGGTGTGTTAGGGTTCCAGCACTTTCCCTGCTGTGTGTTAGGAAGGGCATGGCTGCTATGGAAAGCAGAGAAGGTGGGGTGTGCCCCCTGTCCCCTATGGCCAGGGATGGGAAAGTGGGCACTGCCTGCCCTGGCTTCTGCTGCCATGTGATGCCTTATCCCCTTCTCAGGGAAGACCCCCATGGGCCAATGCATATCTACCTGCTCTCCATGTCTGAGCAGGTTCCCCATGGCGTGGAGACACTTGCAGGAGAGATGCTGGTCAAGGCCAGTGGTGCAGGAAAGGGGTCGAGGCCAGAGATGTTTGCTTTAGTAAAGCATTCCCTTTGTAAGTGTATTCTTAATTCCAACTGCCATCCTTTCCATGTACGGACCAGCGGGCCATGCCCCACGAGACAGTATGATAATAGAGCGATGTGGACTCCCAGCTCTGCTCTTGTGGAATGACCTTGGGCAGTGTGTCACCTAAGTATTGGTGCAGAGCTCTAATCTTGTCAGGAGCAGAGCTCTAATCCTGTCCAGTGTCAAGCTCTCCTAGAGATTTCGAGGATAAAACTGGATACAGACCGTGGTCGGGAACTCTTGGTATAGCTGCTCAGGTTGCCCTAACCACAGCAGGTGCGCTCTCAGTCAGATCATTTGTGGAGTCCCATATAGGAGGGTTATACAACCCACTCTATAAGGACTATGGGATGGCTCTACATTATCCCCAGCTGCATGCTTACATTACAGTCCTCAGGAGCTGTGTCCCATAAAGGTTGAGTCTTGGGAAAGTTCCCCCAAAGTACACAGCATCTAAGTAGTACAGTCAGGTGACTCCTTCAGGAGTCCTTCAGGCCATGGAGACTGAGGCCTCACCACAACATGGCATGTTTTCCAAAGTAATGTCCAGTGGGCTTGGGAAGCCCATAGCGCAAGGGACAGTTGACCTCAGGGTGGCTGTCGAGGTCTGGCTCTTCTTGCTTCCTCCCTCGACACCGCCATACCGGCCCCTTAGTGTGGGATGGGTGACTTGAGCCTGAGACAGACCTGCCGTCTCATAGATGCATGCCGTTAGCCACATGGATGGAGGATGTGTTGAGAGGGATTCAGATGCTTCAACAGCACAGCTGGAGCTCGCATGTGCTGAAGGGGAAGCAAGGCATCACTGGGGCAGACAGAAGGCAGATTTGTAAGGTCTGAGAGGAGGGTTAATCTCCAACTAGCACCTGGCTACTTCTTCATATTTGTTGAGGATTTACTGTATTTTGGACAATGTGTAGTTTTTTTCCCAGTTATTATATCATTGTGAGATTGAATGTTACATGGATTGTAATGCCCCACACCATCATGAGATAGTTCAGCCAAGGCAGGTGTGTATATGTGTCTGTGTGAATTCATTCAGTGGAGGGAAGGAAAAAAATGTGTCTTAACACCCTAGTCATTAATCTGCATGAACACGTTACTGTGTAGAGTCAGACACTTGGAATGAAAATGACCAGCGTCTCCCCTACAAGCATCTCTACTCCATGGAGAACCTGCTCAGGCATGGAGAAGAGATGGACATATGTTGGGGTCTTCCCTAAGAGGGGGATCAACTGTCATGTATTTTTCCTGGCAATCATATTTTTCACTTACATTGCTTTCTAAAACATGTATATATTTTACTTCAGAACACTGAAAAAGAGTAAGTCTTACCAAAAAATGCTTTATTTCCTGTTGGGAGCGGATGTGATGTGAGGAGCAGACGAGCACTGTCACTGTAACAGGCCTTGAGTAAAGGCTCCAAGCAAAGGCAAGGTGTCGCTTGGAAGCTCTGCATCCTAGCCAAAGGTAGGCTGTGAGGGATGCAACTTGCTACACGAAATGGTGTCTCAGATGCCCATATATCTGAGTGCACATAGTACAGATAAAGCCTTAGATACAACAAGATAACTGTGGAACAGCTCGCCTTTTAGGTAGCAATATAATTCCATGATGGCTTCCTCACAGACCTTGAATCCCTTCCGACTTCCTTTGTGTTTGATTATAAAATAAACATGCTGAGCTAGTTTGGGGTCACTTCTCCTCCATCAGAGGAAAGTGTTCCACCTGACCTCAGCTTTTCTTTATGTCTTTGTGTCTGTGTCTTTCTTAATCTCTCACTGCTCTCTCTCAGGACCCTCAAGGCAGCCACGCAGGCCACGGCAATTTCCATCTTGTCCTTGGCATATACAGCTTAGGCTTCTTTAGTGATGCGCATACATATACATACACATACATGCATGTAAATCTGTGTTGTGAGCAATGCAAGGTCAGAGATTACCAGGTCCAAGCACACTTGTCTTTGCACAAAGTCACATTTTCTTGATGCTTATTTAATCATAAAAGCCACAAACTCCATGGAGCTCCCAAGGAGGCAATTTTCTTTAGTGCTTGGTTCTGCCCATCCACTTGGTGGTCAGAGGCACAGCACACAGGCTCAGGCCACTCCACAGTCAGTCGGTGCTGCAGGTTGTAACAGCAGTATAGTATGTTGATCAATCAACATATACATATTACAGATTAAACTTCCACAAGTGACATTTAACATTCTGAAAAAAGAGATAGGAAAAGGGGTTAGCAAACCCTCCAGGAAAAGCGAAGTGAGCAGACAGACTTCCCAGGGCCGGCATGGTGGCACATCAGTGTGTCCTGTGAGGAAGTCTTTGATGTGGGCGAAACCTTCAGAGGAGGATACTGGGTGTTGATCACAGGTGACATGGCAAGACGGTGTCTGTGAAGATGGCGTGTTGAGCTGGGGAGTCCTGTCTTGTGGCCATAGAGTCTTCTGGTGAGGGCTGACAGGGAATATGTTGGTGAAGTCCTTTCTGGTTGGTGTGGTCTCTATTGACGAGGCAGGACATCAATAGAGGTTCCTGTTGGCATGGTGCCTTTTAAAATGGAGTCTTTTTCTAAGATGGAGTCTCTTATGTCAAGGATACTGTATACAAATGCAATCTTTATTCAAAGGGTGCCTTGACATGTTCATGGTGAACTCATTTTAGGAGTTATGTTTTTAAATTTTAGAGTATTATTAAACTGCTTCCTTACATGACCATTCTTATATTGTGCCTTTGTTTACCATTTGCATAATAGAGCCCAGACAGGAAGTGGCTGGTGTTCGACGGGCCAGTGGATGCGGTATGGATTGAGAACATGAACACCGTGCTGGATGACAACAAGAAACTGTGCCTGATGAGTGGGGAAATCATCCAGATGTCACCACAGATGAACCTCATCTTTGAGCCCATGGATTTAGAAGTCGCCTCTCCCGCCACCGTGAGCACTCCATGCTGACATCTCTTTATTAATTGTAAAATGCCATACATGTGTTTATGTACTTAGTAACTGTGACTTTAAATGAAAAATGTGAGTAGATTTCTTTTTCAGAGCCAGCTGTGCTTCCCAAAGGACAAGTATGTCTGTGGACACACTTGGCAAATTCCATGGCCAAGGTGTCTTCTTCCTTGTCCATGACTTTTTCGGTAAAGTTATATATAAAAGCTGAAGCCATAAAATTGTATGCAATTAGCTTTTCCCCAGGCTTTCCTGGAGGTTGCAAGAGCTGGCATGCTAAGTAAGTCATAGACATCTTATCGGCATCACTTTGATGTAAACACTTGGGCTTTCCAGGTCTCCAGGTGTGGCATGATCTACATGGAGCCCCACATGCTGGGCTGGAGACCGCTGATGCTATCCTGGGTGAACTTGCTGCCTGAGACAGTCAGTACGATTCAAAAGGAATTCATAATAGGCTTGTTTGACAGAATGGTCCCTGTTTCTGTTGAATTCATTAGAAAGCATACAAAGGTAAGATGAGTGGGAATTTTAAGATTAAAAAAAATAGAAAACCCAAATTAGCTTTATATATCAATTTCAATGTCTGTTTTTATCACAAAGAGATTAAAATATTTCTTAACGAGTTTGGCTGAAAAAACATTTTTCTGATTAAAATAAAAAGATATCAATTCACAATTATTCTCTAGAAATATTTTAAATAAAGCATCTTAGAGTTTGACAAAATATTATTGGTGCTAATATTTTCTTTCAAATAGAAAACCACAAAGGCTCATATAGCCTTATCTGGGTAAAAATACCCCCAAACACTATTTTTTATTTCTGGTGGGCTGTTGTATTTTAAATAATTTCCATGTTTACAATGTTCTTTATCATCCAAAGTTCCTAAGATAAGCCAGCCCCAGTAGAAGATTGGAACAAGGTCCTAGAACAGGCAAAGCTGTCTTTCTTCTTTCAGTACACACTGGAGAGTGGAAGGGGTGGTGAGAAGGGAGAAAAGACAGTGTCCATGGAGACCTGGTCCTGAGAGCTGGTGGAGCACCAAACCAGGGAGATGTGCAGACTCCCCCCATCTGGAATCAGAGCTGGTACACTGCATTTCTGCTTTAGAAGGACTTTGCTCTGGCACAAATGTGAGAAACAGGGCTGACGTTTCTCCTGCTGTTGAAGATTGAATGGAGGAGTTCGAGGCGAAAGTTGGCCTCAAGGTACAGATTTGGAAGGTGGAGTTTAAAACCATGTTAGTGTAGATGACCTAAAGGAATAATCCAGAGAAGAAAGGAGAAGAGCAAAGGACAGAGTCTCAGGTGCATCTGTGACCTAAACAAGAGAGGGAAGAGGGAAGAGGGGCATGTTAGAAGGGAGTGTCAGTGTTGTCAAAGTGACGAGGAATCATCAGGATGGGAAAGACTGGCATATGTCCCTTGGTTCTGACAGTTGGGAAGCCCATGGGGAGAGACTTAGGGCAGAAACAAGGGCTCTCAGGGAACTCGTGTGAGGAATCTGGGCAATACTGACAAGACGGGGATATAGACTGCTCTTTCAAGAAGGGATTGGCAGTAGTGGGAATCTGCCGGGATGGGGGGGCATACCTCATCAACAGAGTACCTGCATAATGAACATTTGTATACCTAACCCTGAATTGTACCCCACACCTTTAAAATGTCTCATAGCCAGCTGGGCTTGGTGGCTCAGCCTGTAATCCCGTGCCTTTGGGAGGCTGAGGTAAGTGGATTGCCTGAGCCCGCGAGTTCGAGACCCGCCTGGGCAACTTGGCGAGACCTCATCTCTACATAGATCAAAAATTAGCCGGGCATGGTAGCGCACACCTGTAGTTCCAGCTACTTGGAAGGCTGAGGCAGAAGGATCACCGGAGCCCAGCAGGTCAAGGCTGCGGTGGCCGGGAGCGGCCACTGCACTCCAGTCTGGGTGACAGAGTGAGACTCCAACTCAAAAAAAAAAATAAAAAGTCGAAGACTTCCGGCAAGATGGCGACGGGGCAACCCAGTCTGTGAAAACCTCTGCAAAGGAAAATTGGGTCTCTGACTCTCGCCCCGGGGGCTACAGACTCCTACATCGCAGCCTGCTCTTCATACGGAGCTCGGCCATTGCCACCGCTGGGGCATCGCAGCGGTCTGGACAGCCACTGCAGCGCAGCCGCTGCAGCCACCGCCACCGCCGCCGGTAGCACATCGCACCACCCGGGCTGGAGGGGATCCACAACTTCAGTCCATGAAGCGCCTTCAGGGAAGATCTGCTGGGATCGCTGCCACCTCTCCTGTGACTGAGGCGTCCTGCCCGCCGTAAGACTCCTGCTGTCTGCCCTGAGGCAGGCAGCCATCTTGCCATCTTCAGCCTCTGCCGTTCCTGTCCGGCCCCACCCCCTCTGGGGCGAGCAGTTGAGACAGCACCACCTGCTGGCGATTCAAGGTAACAACACCGAAACGGGAGAAACAAGCTTGATAAAGACATAGGCCAGAGTGGTGAACCGAGGGTGATCTGAACTGTCCTTCACAGCAGACCAGGGGCAACTGACCCTAACTGCAAACTAATTTACCAGCTTGAAAAGAAAACTAGAAATCAGACCTGAAAGGCCATTGGACTTAAATGAAATGTCTCAGAGTGTGCTTCATTGATTCTGTTAGTTTAATGACTTAATTCTATTCCTACTGTATTATTCCTTTTTTTTCTCTTTTCTTCTTCCTTTTCTTCTCTTTTCTTCTCTCTGTAAACCATATCTTTGTATAGAGGAACAGCACACTAATAAGGTGGTTGGATAGCTGGTATGTTAGCATCACTATATGTTTTATTTTTGTTTGTATGAGAATTGGTTCGTCTGTAGCTGTGGTCTATTTTTTTCTGTTTCAGTATAGGCCTCTCTCTCTATTTGTTGGCACACTCATTTGGTTCCCCCCTTACTCCTCTATCTCTCCACCCCCCTCTTCAACCCACTGTCTACTCCATTCTCTCCCCTCTGCTAACCACATTTTATTTCAGGGAGTAAACCTACAGCCCCACAGCACGGACAGATTCCAAGGCAGTGGGAAGTGGGTTCCAGATTATTCACACACCTGTCAGCGAATACCAGGACCTACAGATAGATTTTGAATCACAGCTCCCCCCTTAAGTAAATCTCAAAACTGCAAAAAGGACCACCCCCAACCTACAGTGCAACTCCAGAAGTGAACAAAGTAAGAGGGCATACATAAAGAATAGGAGATTGAACAAACAGAAGTAAAACCCATCCCTTTACCCCTGAATACCAGAATTAAAGACGGTGACGTGAAGGGAAGGAAAAAGTAGGGAGGGGGGAAAACCACACAAATGAAGAAAAACCAAAAGAAGAATATAGGTCTCACACAGACCCCTGGGAGATCAGACACTGAGGAAACAGATTCTGGAACACAAACAATGAAGAGCCCCCAGAATGACTGGTTACATGCAACAAACTCAGACATCAAGACATTAATGGAGAGAATTTTAAAAATTGAGGAGAGACAAGAGGAAAATAGGAAGGAGCTGATGTCAGAAATGACACCAGTAAAGAATACTGTGATGGAAATGAATAACAGACTAATAAGCATGGAAAGCAGAATCAGCCAAGCAGAAGAAAGAATCTCAGAGCTCGAAGACCAAAACACAGAACTAACCCAAACTGTCAAAAGCATAGAAAAGAAGCTCAAAAGACAGAACAAACCTGCAAGAGATGAATGATCACTTCAGGAGACCAAACCTAAGAATCTTCAGGCTAGGAGAGCCTGGAGCCCTATCTCAAAGTTCTAAAAGAGAAACAATTTCAACCAAGAATAACCTACCCAGCCAAACTAAGCTTCATTAGTGAGGGAGAATTGAAATCTTTTCCAGATATCCAATCACTAAGAACCCTGCGGCCACCAGACCACCTCTACAAGAAACAATTAAGAAAGTACTGAACACAGAAGAAAAAGAAAAAAGAACAACAGCAATCTTCACAAGAGTACAGGCAAAAGATTAGAAACACACATGAACCAACTCCAAAACCCAAAGAAAGATAACAAAGAAACAGGAACAACTCTGTAAGAACCTTATGACAGGGATCAACTCTTGCAATTCAATTATTAGCCTAAATGTGAATGGACTAAATGCACCACTAAAAAGACATAAAATGGCAAAATGGATAAAATATCATCAGGCAAAAATCTATTGCCTTCAAGAGACTCACCTCACTAGAAAGGACACCCACAGACTCAAAGTAAGAGGATGGGAAACAAACTTTCAGGCGAACGGAATACAAAAGAAAGGAGGAGTAGCGATCTTAAGTTCAGACAAAATACCTTTCAAGCTATTAAAAATCAAAAAAGATACAGAAGGCCACTACATAATGATAAAAGGCTCAATCCATCAACAGAAATATCTATCCTAAACATATATGCACCCAACATAGGTGCGCCAACTTTCATAAAGCAACTTCTAGGAAAACTAAAGAAAGATATTGACTCTAACACCATCATAACTGGAGACTTTAATACCCCACTCACAACCCTAGACAGATCATCAGGACAAAAAATCAATAAGGACATCCAGAACCTCAATATGACTTTGGACCAAATGGATTTAATTGATACCTACAGAACACTCCATCCAAAGACCACAGAATACACATTCTACTCATCACCACCTGGAACATATTCTAAGATCGACCACATATTCGGCCATAAATCAAGCATAAGCAAATTTAAAAGGACTGAAATTCTACCATGTACCTTCTCAGACCACAGTGGAATAAAAATAAACATTGACACCAACAAAGTCCCTCCAAAACCCACAAAGACATGGACACTAAACAGCATGATGCTAAACAACTCCTGGGTCAATGATGAAATCAAAATAGAGATCAAAAGATACCTGGAAACAAATGAAAATGAAGAAACATCTTACCAAAATCTCTGGGATGCCCTGAAAACTGTAGTAAGAGGGGAATTTATATCCCTACAAACACACATGAAGAAAATCAAAGGAACCGAAATTCACAACCTAACAAGCCACCTAAAGAAGCTGGAAAAGCAAGACCACAAAAACCGTAATTTCAGCAGAAGAATCCAGACCACCAAAATAAAAGCCCAAATCCAGGACACAGTAGACAAAAAGATAATACAAAAAATCAATGAAACAAAAAGCTGGTTCTTCGAAAGGATAAACAAGATCGATGGTCCCCTAGCTCAACTGACCAAGAAAAAATGAGAAAAAAAACCAAATAAACACAATCAGAAACACAAAAGATGAAGTCACATCTGACCCTGAAGAAATACAAAAGATCATTAGAGACTACTACGTACACTTGTATGGAAACAAACTTGAAAACCAGAAGGAAATGGAAGACTTTCTGACATCACACAACCTACCTAGGTTGGAACAAGAAGAAATTGAGACCCTAAATAGACCAATAACAATCAAGGAAATTGACTACATAATAAGAAAACTTCCTACAAAAAAAGCCCTGGTCCAGATGGCTTTCCAGCAGAATTCTACAAGACATTTAAGGAGGAGCTGATACCAATCCTACTGAAGGTATTCCGGCGATTGAAAAAGATGGAACTCTCCCCAAATCATTTTACGAAGCCAACATCACATTGATACCCAAGCCAGGTAAAGATTCAACAAAGAAAGAGAATTACAGGCCAATACTTTTGATGAACATAGATGCTAAAATTCTCAACAAGATCCTAGCAAACTGGATTCAGCAATACATCTCAAAAATCATCCACCATGACCAAGTAGGCTTCATTCCTGGGATGCAAGGCTGGTTCAATATTCGTAAAACCATAAATGTAATTAAATACATCAACAGATGTCAAAACAAAAGCCACATGATCATATCATTAGATGCAGCAAAAGCTTTTGATAAAATCCAGCATCCCTTCTTGATAAAAACCCTTGAACATCTAGGCATACGGGGAACATACCTCAAAATAGCAAAAGCCATCTACGAGAAACCCACAGCCAGCATACTCCTAAATGGACAAAAGTTGGAACCAATTCCCCTGAAAACTGGAACTAGACAAGGATGCCCACTGTCACCACTCCTGTTCAACATAGTATTGGAAGTCCTGGCTAGAGCAATCAGAGAAGAGGAGGCAATCAGGGGTATCCAAATAGGAAAAGAGGAAGTCAAGTTATCTCTCTTTGCAGATGATATGATTGTGTACCTTGAAAACCCAAGAGAATCTGTCAAAAGCCTCCTTACATTGATAAAGGCCTTTGGCAAAGTCTCAGGATACAAAATAAATGTACAAAAGACAATTGCATTTCTCTACACCAATAATAAACAAACAGAAACCCAAATAAAAAACACAATTTCCTTCACAATAGACACACAAAAAATGAAATACCTTGGCATCTTCCTAACCAGAGACATGAAAGACCTTTACAATGAAAATTACAAAACACTGCTCAAAGAAATCAAAGCACCCCTTCAAACAAGTGGAAAAATATCCCATGCTCATGGATTGGAAGAATCAACATTGTGAAGATGTCCATCCTACCTAAGGCAATCT